CAGAAATTACATCCTAGGTGAAGACTGATTTTTTTTTCTTAATTGAAAATATATTTAATTTCACTTTCTGTCTTTAAATCACATATTAAATAAAGTCACAGTTCACAACTAGTATGATTTATTAGAAAAAAATTGGCCCATTTCACATGATATGCTCTAACTGGCTGAAACAGTGCAGCTTTAGGATTATTAACACAGCTACCACGCAGTCTTGACTTCAGTTTAAAATATGTTCTGTTTATCTATATAGTTACTATAGATCTACTAAATCATCAGTCAAATAGTAACCTCGGTAAATGTAATGGTTTCTACATCAGTAGTAGTAACTGAATGCCTCAGTCATAGAATTTTTTTAGTCTTAAAATATTGCTGTACTGATTTTTTAGGCATATTTGATTACAATATCACTGCTTACATCTTAAACTCCTTAAAGGTTACAGCCAATCCCACAAAGTATTTTTTACTCCAAATTAGAATTCATTATTGCTTTCATATTTTACTAGAAGGAGAAAGGAAAAAAGAGGTTGAGAAATCAGGTTATTTTCTGTGAGCAGAAAATAGGGTCACTTCTGTGAATATTGAAATTGAGGTAGTGGAAATTGCAAGGAAGTTTGCCATATTAAGGAAAGGTAAGATCTTTTAAATGTAGTCAAATGACTGTACAAACATTACTCCCCAGAAAGGCATTTATCCTAATTAATAATAATTAGTCACCTACTTAACTGACAGCTGCAAATCAAAATGGGACTTGCCAATTCTCTCATGGGGTCAGCTATGGCCACCCATGAAAACTTCCTTCTTTCATCTGCTTTACAAGAGGAAGGACTGACCAACAACCACAGCCATTCCAGCCCACCATAGCATCCTCAATGCTCGCTGCCAGGACTGGCTGCCACCCGCTGCCCAAGACGATCAGGAAGTAAGTAGGTCTATAAACCTATTAAACCAGCATAAATGTTGTAACTTGTCATCCATTAAAATCCAAATAAACAGGAAAAGAGGTCTGAGAGCCAGTTTCTTCAGAGCAAAATGTAATGCTAATTATGAGGTTTTCAACTACCCCAGCTTTTTTCTGGGGGTGGGCGAGACTTAGGGTTGAACCATTAAAAAGCCAGTTGGTAGTATTAAACTCTTGCTTTAGGATTTATAAGAAGGCCAAAAATGCACTCCAGGTTGAAATTTACTATCCCAGGCCTGAAATAATTTCAATAATAATAATAATAATAATAAAAAAAAGGTAAAAACTCAAAGAAGTAAAAAAAGTCATAAATATGGAAGAAAACCCAAACAAACATGAAACAATGGTTTCAGATGATTTTTGGCACTCCTTCAATGCAAAAATTGCTTTATTTTTTAATTAAATCTGAGACTCACTACTATGAATTACTTTTATAACTAAAACTGGGACCAGGTTATTTTAATAACAAATTACTAGTAAGTTACTATCACTGAATCTTTTTTAAAGCTTTCCAGTGTGAAGAGATGTCATAGTTTTCAAAGGAATGTCAATGTTCTGACTTACACTCCAAAGCCAGGAAGCCGGGGCAGGCAATTTCATCTGTGAGCCACACATATGTATGAAAACATTTGAAAAAATTAACAGCGTATGTTAAAGATGCAATGTCAGCCCCAGTTTTATCCATAACTAGAGTTCATTAGTTTTGTGGGTTTAAAATTGACATTTAAATATAAAGGCAACATAAGTTTTTGTGACTTAATTGAGCGCTCCTTAAATAAAGAGTTATTTAAATGTTTGCAGACCATTAACATCTTTCCAAAATAAGCTGTGTGCTGGTGCTACTTAGCAATATTTCCCTATCACCCTAAGGAGCCTATATAGCTAATAGAAGCCATTTCTTTTGCTAAATTCTGCCTGCAAACTCTAAAAAGAGCATTAAGGTTACTAAACAGAGTATCCTGGGAGGCAGTATTGTTAAAACAAAAACCGGAACAAACTTTTCAAGTGAACTTTCTGCAATCATGAGAGGACATAGGTCTTAAGAAGAAGAGAAAACTTGTTATAGGAGAGGGAACAAAAAGCCAAATGTAAGCAGAGAGCACATGCCAGTCACCCCTAAGGGAACAGAGGGGAGGTACAGAAAATTAACTGCTGCATTTCTGCTACCCACCAAAACCACAAATGGGCCATTCTGGGGGACTAACACATACAGAGTCTGCAGATAAATACATGTCTGCCTCATTACCTGAGAAGAGCCTTAAAGAGCACACTTCTTTGCTGAATATTTCTGTTTCTACACGAATGATCTCAGTTACACAGAAGAAGGTGCTATACATATGCATGCAACATTGCAGCATGTATGCGTGTCAGCTTGGAAGCTGCTCAGCTCTGTCTGTGAATTTGGCCTATATTTTTTTGGCAGGGATTTTTACTGCAAAACTTAACAAACATTCCCTGTAGCCAAACCACCTTGAACTGTTTCTTATCAAATTTCACAAGCTAAGTGGGTTCAAGTCTGGTCAATATGTGGATGAGAGATCATTATATGAAATTATGTTTTGCTGAAAAATGGTAACAGTAACTTAACAGCATCAGGAAACGGCAGGATTAGCTGTAAGGACATGCACAAAGATGACTGGGATTCAGGTAGCTGCTGGCTTTACCCAAGATAAGACTACCACACCTAGGAAAGCCAGGACGAGCAGCATACCTAAAGGGAGGCCAGTATATGGAAAATGGGACCTAAAAGATTAGTGAGGTTCCTGCTTTCTACCTGGAACAAGAATGGCAAACAGCCACGAAAGACACTCTCTGCTGAAGGACATGCCTATTTGTATGCCACCTCGCCAGCTTGCAAGGCATACTTTCTCTCTGGCATCTAAAGCAGCACCAGCTCTGAGTTATACCTTGTGCAGTAACAGTAATACCATGCATGCTGCTAAAGTCTGGTATACTAACACAGTATCAAACAACTGGAATGGAAGATGATAAAAGAGAAACTGCCATTCTGAATTTCTCATGTATAGTTTGGGAAAGCATAGATCTAAAGGAGGATTAGGATAACGATTATATTTGGATTATAACAAATACTTAACATCAACCCAGATGATGCCCTTTCATGCAACCTAAGGAAAAACATCCTCTGTATTTTCTTAAGTAACCACAACATACATGTTTACCTGTATTCAAAGATGAGTTAACAAGAGTCTCCTCAGAGTACATATCAAACAGGATCTCACAGAAGGAATACAGCAGTATTCTTCATTCTGACTGGATGCAGTGGAGGGTATGCCTGTAGGGCTTGGAAGTTGTGCAGGCACTGTGAGGCTGAAATGTAGGATGATTTACATACTCCAAATTGTTTCCCTGAAACAGATCTTGCCTAACTATCCCTGGTTTTATCACCTCGCTAGTCAACTGCCATACATCCTGCACTTAAGGGAAAAAGACTTGCATCAGCCAGTAACAGACACATGAGCTGCCTATCTAAAATTAGCCTGCTGGCCCTCCTGGGCTCCCTCTGCAGGCGCTGCACCAACAGAATGAGAAGCTCAGCCACAGCATGACTGTGAGCAACCACGTCACCTGTGCAAGCTAGAACCACTGCGAAGACCAAAATCCTATGCCAAGCAAACATTGGGAAAAATTCTGTAGTTATCAAAAAAATATCAATGCTTATTTTAGGCCCAGAAAAGCTTTCAAGATGACAAAACCAGAAATTGGGCTGAGGCTGCTGAAATGCAACTTAGTTGATGGTTACTTAAAAAAACCAAACCCTTCAATAAATAATGTATTTTTTCTTCTACCAAGCTATTACAAACCCTAACTTTGGAACAGGGCTCCAATGAGGAACTTGGAACAGAGGCTGCAGAAAGTGGAAGGTGATATTATTTATAACCTGGCAGGCAGGACCCCTAGAAATTCAGCCATGAGAAGCTGATTATCTTACCTACAGGTAAAACAATACTGAGTAACTTTGAAATTTTGAAAAATATATGAACAATGAAAAGTATTTCAGCAGACAGACGCTGGCTTTTTTTCTTCAGTATTTGATGGAACATGTTTGAAAGAATACATCACTAACCAGTGTTCCTGACAGATGTGTAAAGTTATACTACCTGGCCACATCATGAATTAGCCTTCTCAGGAAGAGCTACATAAAAGCAAAACAGAAGAAAGCAGAAATTCCTTGGCATCTGTAGGATTTCATGGAAATGAATCAGTTTGCTTCAAATAGGAGATAATTAAGAAAATCTATTAAAATTTTCTGAATTACATTATGATTTTATCATTTAGCTATTCTCAACATGCTTCCCTTTTTCATATCCAGGGACATAATGAACAACCAGTTCATTTCAGAACTTCCAGAAAGAG